GACGTGATTTTAATATTTCCAAAATGGCAAAAAGTCGGTTCAGATATACATATGCAAACAATTGATTTTTAGCAAACCTGAAAGTCATAATAAGTAATCGATATGAAAAATATTTGGTATAATTCACCCTAGAAATACCTGTGCAAAATTTTGTCAAAATCTGCTCAGATTAAAATTTAACTGCCACATATAACTTCATCCGACTTCATTTTTATTGTATTCGAAATCCGAAATGATTTTTATCATATGAAGCTGGATCTCATATTTGAAGGTGGGTCTGTATAATTTACTCCTATATATATTTTTCAGCCGATTGGAACCTTAATATGCACCGATTATAATAATATTTGGTACAAGACATCACACAAACCCTGGAAACGCCTCTGTAAATTTTCATCAAATTCGGTTCAGATTCATTATCGTTATCAAATAGATGGCCCCGTCCAACCTTGATATTTCCTCAGCTGGTTTTCAATAAAAAATAGATTTTTTTCGATAAAAATCTCAGGCCATCTTTAAATATCATTTTTATTTTCGATAAAAAAAAATCGCTGATCTTTGGTAAGCGGATCCACAGAAGAATATCCCTAATTATTTAAAGCTCTATAACTAAAACTCTTTTCTAGTGGCCATATTTTTCACCGATCATCCACAAAGGGTTTATTTGATCTAAATCCTAAAGTTAAGAAATTACGGTTTTTGAAACATAATTTCTCCCCTCATTCCAACTCCCTTCCGCACCCCTCGTGGTAAGCAGATATTTTGTCTAGTAACAACGACAATAAAAATTGCAGGCCAACGTAACCAAGTTAACATTGTCGTACGTATCTAATGTTAACACCGAACACAATCTCACTACAACAACAGCAACAACAAAAAACCCCACAAAATTCAGCACCACAACAACGACAACAACAATTGCAACATATTTGTGTGTTGCACACACATAAATGCACGTACGGTTGGACACCGCCGTAAAAGGTTTATTAAACAAAACAAGCTAAACTTAATAAACTTTGCAGAATAGCAAAAAAAAAAAATAAAAAGAAGAACAAGAAGAGAGGAAAAACAAAACCAAAACGAACTGCGAAAAATGTGTTTGTTTGTGGCTATGTTGAGCTAAAAGATCGCGCGACAATGGCTATGCATCGTTTTACTTAAAGTGCATGTAAGGCACAACTACCACAAACACCACCACCACAGCCAGCAACAGCAACAACAACAACAAAAACGATAGAAGAAAAACAAACATTGAGATCGAACATCAAACACCAAAGGACGGCAGGCCAACACACAGCAGCAACACACAAATGAGCAACAACAATAACGAACGCATCAAATTTCATGGCACTTCATTTGTGTGAGCTTTTTTTTTTGTGCGGCTAGCTATGCAATGCTGCTTCATGAAAAATGCCAACAACAACAACAGCCGAAGAAGAAGAAAAAAAACCTAATGAACGAGTTCTGAATAGGCATTGTAAAAATATTTTAGACAAAAAAATGGCAACAATAGCCGCTGCTGGTTAGCGAAATAACAATGGCCTATAGAAGGTTAAAGATTTGACATCTATCTTTTATGATTTCTTAAGAATAGAAATTCCAAAAAATTTTGAGTTGGAGATCTGTGTGTGAACATGTTGTAGAACATTTGAGGAGGCTTTTTACAGCCTCCACCAATCTATGGAGGGTATATAAACGTTGTCATTCCGTTTGTAACTCATCGAAATATTTATAATAGACCCTACAATGTATATATTTTCTATATTAGCGTAAAATTCTAAGATGATCTAGCGATGTCCCTGTGTCTGTTGTAATCACGCTATCTTTCGAACGCATTGAGATAGAAGGCTAAAATTTTGCATGCATGCACGCTTTACCACTAGGCAGGTTAAGTTTGTAAATTGGCCATGCGGGTCCACGTTTTTGTATAGCCCCCATATAACGGTACCTCCCGATATTCGGAATTTTAATGATTTCGGCGACCTTATTTACCGGAATTATTTCAAATTTTGTATTTGAAGTTCGTATTGGTTACCACAGCCTATGATAAAAATTTTGGTATGCAGGTGCATGTCTTCGTATAGCCCTCATATAACGGTACCTCCCGATTTTCGGAATTTTAAAGATTTCAGCGACATTATTTACCGGAATTATTTCGGTACCTCCCGATATTCGGAATTTTAATGATTTCAGCGACATTATTTACCGGAATTATTTCGAATTTCATATTTGAAGTTCGTAATGGGTGCTCAGCCTATGACAAAAAATTTCGTATGTAGGTCCAGGCCTTCGTATAGCCCCCATATAACGGGACATTATTTACCGGAATTATTTCGGTACCTCCCAATATTCGGAATTTTAATGATTTCAGCGACATTATTTACCGGAATTGTTTCACATTTTGTATTTGAAGGGTACTACAGTCTATGACAAAAATTTTGGTATGCAGGTCCACGTCTTCGTATAGTCTCCATATAACAGTTTCCAGTTAAGTGGTAGTTTCCGAAAGTTTTTTGAAATTATTCAAGTTCCTTCCAAATAGTGGAGGGTATTAAAAGTTCGGCTTGGTCGAACTTAGCTGCTCTTTTACTTGTTTATACATAGGCTATTAGAATTAGAAAATTTTCAAAAGACTAAAATCCATTAAAAATTCTGTTAAAGTCTTAAAAATACCAAATATCGGAAAATGCCGATATATTGTGCGGATTTACGATATTATGAACCTATATAGACAAATCTATGTCTGGGGGTAACTCCTTGGGCACAGAACTCCTTGTATAGAATTTCAGACAATTCCGTTGAAAAATGAGGGTAAAATCATCAAAATACCGAATATCGGGGAGTACCGTTATATGGAAGATATACGAAATCGTTGACCTATATAGACAATTCTCTTTCAGGGGGTGAAATACTCATAAGGAACTACTTATATGGAATTTCAGACAATTTCGTTGAACAATGTGGCTAAAGTCATCAAAATACCGAATATCGGGGGTACCGTTATATGGGGGCTATACGATATCGCGGACCAATATAGACAATTCTCTCTCAGGGGGTAAAGTACTCACAAGGAATTACTTGTATGGATTTTAAGACAATTCCATTAAAAAATGTGGCTAACATCATCAAAATACCGAATATCAGGAGGTACAGTTGTATGGGGGATATACGATATCGCGGACCTATATAGACAATTCTTTTTCAAGGGATAAAATACTCACAAGGGACTCCTTTTGTGGCATTTCAGACAATTCCATTGAAAAATGTGTCTAAAATCATCAAAATACCGAATATGGGGGATAATGGTACCGCCCTATACGATATCGTGGACCGATATAGCCCATCTTCGAACTTGACCTGCCTGCAGACAAAAGAGAGATCTGTGCAAAATTTTAGCTTCATATCTTAATTCGTTTAGACTGTAGCATGATTACAACAGATGGACAGACGGACGGACGGATAGGAGGACGAAAAGGGACGTCTTAGAATTTTACGCTGATCAAAAATATATATACTTTGTTGGGTCTAAAATGATTATTTCGATGAGTTACAAACGGAATGTCGAACTTAATATACCCTCCATACTGTGTATAGTGGAGGGTATAAAAAAGCTGCAACAAAGTCAAACGCCATAATTTTTACATTTTTTTGAATGAATGAAGGCTAAAAATGTCAGAAATAGCATCAAATTTTAGAATAAGGTTAGATTTATCCGAATTGGTCGCCTTTGGCACGAATTATGGCCTTCAAACGTCCGAGAAACACACACGTCACACGCTGCCCGAATGTTGCTCTGCGGTAGTTTGGCCCATTCCCGGCGAAGCGCTTTCTTGAGGTGATCGACACTTGGGTATTTTTTAGTGCCAATCTTGCTTTCCAAAATATTCCAGACACATTAGTCCAACGGATTGGTATTCGGATATTTTGGCGGCCATTGTGCGCTGGAAATGAAGCGAGGAACCTCATTTTGTAACCATTCTTGAGTGGCACGAGCTGAGTGCGATGGTGCTAAGTCCTGTTGGTATGTCCAAGCTCTGCGGCTAAATGTTTGCGTGCCCAAGTCTTTAATACACCCTTCAGCATATTTTCGCCATAATATTGAGCATTTGTTCTGATACCACGGTCGATTAATACGAGTGGAAAGCGACCAACGGCTGTTATGGCGGCCCACACCATCACCATGACCGGCGCTTGAGTTCTGGTGGCCAACGGCTGAGGGACCTAATAACGGAAATAATAAAATCTGCCCATATCGAAATTCATCTAATTTAGGTATTTTGAAACTCCACATTTTCTAGCTGAAATGACTATAATGTGTGAAGGTCTCAGGCAATTTTTTTCAATAAGTTTACATTCGTAAACGGTGGGAACTTATTTGGCAACAATTTCAATTTAATTTTTCAATATTGTCATGCAACGCAATCCCCACGTCACGCAATTTTGAAGAGCATAGAAAGTTTGGCACAACCGAATTTTACACCATTTTTCTTGCATTTCAGGGAACAGATTTCGATTCTCCTGGAAATTAAAGTTTACAAAACGAAGATCTAGGTTATTCCAATATATAATTTTTATTAATTTTTCCTACAGGCACATACATCTCCAGCCAGCCAGCTATAGCATAGAAATTCTCAAGTTTTCATAAAATAAGTTCATCGAGTAGAAATTCAAAAATAAAGTAATTTTAAGGCTTTGAAGCAAAAACTAGTTTAAACTGCATGAAAACGTGAAATTACAAGTTCAATAATTTTAAGACCAAATATTTAAGATGACAATTATGATCAGGCGTATTTTCTCTTTAATAGTAGGAACATAAACCAATATGGAAATTTCTTGAGTTAAGTTATTTTTCCAAATAATAAATTACAAATAATAAATTCTTTAGACAATTCCAGCACTTTTAATATATTTTTTTTAATCATTTGCATTGTTGCATATTTTTTTATTTCATTTTTTTAATGTTTAACTCTCTCAAAATCGAAACAAATTTCTTTTCTTACATTTCTTGGCAATTCCTGTTTGACGTTTAATCCAAATTTCTGTTGTTCTCTGTATCGCTTTATCTTTCTCTCTCTCCTTGGAGTTTTGCAATTGTGGTTTGTTTATTTTCTGGTATTCTTTATTTTGTTATTTCTCCTTTAAACTTTAACTTTTTGTAAAATATTTTCTCTACTGCATTTATTTTTTCTAACTTATCACGACTTCTATTTAATATTTATTTTTTTCTCTAAAATTCCACTTTTGCCATTTTTATTTAAATCATTTTTGTATATCTTTGTTAAAATAATTTCTTTGCTAAAAAATCACACTAAGCCTGCTGATATTGTTATAAACAAGAAACGGGGATGGGGGGCCTGTGGAGACTCTACGATATTTACACAAATACTTTCGCACACACACTTTAAATAAATCTTCTACACATGCATGTATGTATATTCCGTTGCCACTTCTTTTAAGCGCTCTCGTTTTATTTTGTAATTTTTTTTCGCTTCAGCCTTTTTATGTTGTTGTTGTTGGGTTTTTTACACTTCTCCACAGAAAGATGTCAACGTTCCGTCCGTTCAATTTGGTTACGACTTCGTTACACGTTCACAGGTAAAAGCAAACTGTTCTGTTAGCCGCAGCTAAAAGATCTCTTTGGTGTTTTTGTCGTTGCTCCATGCCATTCCGATACGATTCGATTTGTTGCAGAAAAAAAACCCAAAGAGTTCCATGGAGTGATCGAACAATGCAGTGTGAGTGCGTGCTATGGCTTACAAATGCATGTGTATATGTGCTGTTGTTGCTTGGTTAAACATGTGTGGTGAGTTGGGAAAACGGTTTCTCTTCTCTGGGAGTTAAGATGCTGAGTAGTTAAGAGCAAAACAAAAGACTTAAGACACAAACTGCAAGATGAATATTGTACCTGAGTAAGGGAGTTTGAGGTTGCTTATGAGAGAGTAGGTTATTGAGAGAGTATTGCAAATTATGGCTACTTTGTTTATTCTCATTTAAGTTATCACAGTTTTAACTCCCAATTAGAATGGAATGGAGTGAAACTAAAGACTTAAGCTACAAACTTGGGAAAATAATGGGAATTTAATGACGAAAGACCAAATGTGGATTTTTAAAGAATATTTTTCAAGGACCCAGAGACCATCAAACGTAGATTTTTTAAAGAATATTTTTCAAGGACCAATAGACCAGTAAACGTAGATTTCTAAAGAATATTTTTAAAAGACCCAAAGACCATCAAACGTGAATTTTTAAAGAATCTTTTTTTTAAGGACCCAAGGATTCAAGGATCTATAGACCAATAAACGTGCATTTTTTAGAGAATATTTTTTGAGGACCATTAGATCAATAAACGTGGATTTTCAAAAGAATATTTTTCAAGGATCTATAGACCAATAAACGTGGATTTTTTAGAGAATATTTTTTGAGGACCAACAGATCAATAAACGTGGATTTTCAAAAGAATATTTTTCAAGGACCAAGAGACCAATAAACGTCAATTTTTTAAAGAATATTTTTCAAGGACCAATAGACCAATAAACGTGGATTTTTTAAAGAATATTTTTCTAAGACCAATAGATCAATAAACGTGGATTTTCAAAAGAATATTTTTTAAGGACTCATCAAACGTGGATTTTCAAAAGAATATTTTTTTAAGGACTCATCAAACGTGGATTTTCAAAAGAATATTTTTTAAGGACTCATCAAACGTGGATTTTCAAAAGAATATTTTTTAAGGACTCATCAAACGTGGATTTTCAAAAGAATATTATTTAAGGACACATCAAACGTGGATTTTTTAAAGGATATTATTTAAGGACTCATCAAACGTGGATTTTTTAAAGAATATTTTTCAAGGTTCAATAGACCAATAAACGTGGATTTTTTAAAGAATATTTTTCAAGGTTCAATAGACCAATAAACGTGGATTTTTTAAAGAATATTTTTCAAGGTTCAATAGACCAATAAACGTGGATTTTTTAAAGAATATTTTTCAAGGTTCAATAGACCAATAAACGTGGATTTTTTAAAGAATATTTTTCAAGGTTCAATAGACCAATAAACGTGGATTTTTTAAAGAATATTTTTCAAGGTTCAATAGACCAATAAACGTGGATTTTTTAAAGAATATTTTTCAAGGTTCAATAGACCAATAAACGTGGATTTTTTAAAGAATATTTTTCAAGGTTCAATAGACCAATAAACGTGGATTTTTTAAAGAATATTTTTCAAGGTTCAATAGACCAATAAACGTGGATTTTTTAAAGAATATTTTTCAAGGTTCAATAGACCAATAAACGTGGATTTTTTAAAGAATATTTTTCAAGGTTCAATAGACCAATAAACGTGGATTTTTTAAAGAATATTTTTCAAGGTTCAATAGACCAATAAACGTGGATTTTTTAAAGAATATTTTTCAAGGTTCAATAGACCAATAAACGTGGATTTTCAAAAGAATATTATTTAAGGACTCATCAAACGTGGATTTTCAAATGAATATTTTTTAAGGACTCATCAAACGTGGATTTTCAAAAGAATATTTTTTAAGGACTCATCAAACGTGGATTTTCAAATGAATATTTTTTAAGGACTCATCAAACGTGGATTTTCAAATGAATATTTTTTAAGGACTCATCAAACGTGGATTTTCAAATGAATATTTCTCAAGGACCCAAAGACTAATAATACTGGATTTTTAAAAAAATATTGTTCAAGAACTCAAAGACCAATAATCCTGGATTTTAAAAAAATATTGTTCAAGAACTCAAAGACCAATAATCCTGGATTTTAAAAGAATATTTTTTAAGGATCCAAAAACAAATCCGTGCGTTTTATATGTATCGTGTCTTTGGCAATATTTTAGATAAAAATAGGAAAAATATTATAGTCAAAAATGAGTCAACAAAGAGGTCTTTTTGGTCCTTTTAAGAATATATGGTTAAACTGGATCGTAATCAGTGAAAATACTCTACAAAATTGTTTGTCATAAAATTTTAAAGTAGGTCCTAGAAGATGTTAAATGTCTAAATCTTACCTAAACGCCAGGAATGAATATTTACAAGAAAATAACATTTTGGGGTTAACGCCGCACTTGGTGTGAATTTCTGCAAAAATCTCCGGAAAAGTACAATTTTAGAAGAATGACATCATTGACAAAAATATTCTTCATTCAATTTTATTTTGAGTCACCAGAGAAACGAAATTAATATTTCCATTTCATATAAAAAGAATAATTCCATAAATGTTGCAAAAAAAAAAAAACTCAAAAATATTTTCTATTTCTTGGATCAATTTTTCCTCGCCCTCTTTTCGAGTTGGCTCATCCACAAACAAACCTCCTGTTGGTAGGTCTTCCATCCTAAAATATTCTAAAAAATATTTCTCATAAGATTCTACTATAGACCCCAAAAGTCAATAAAAGCCTTAATCTTACCTGAACGTCAAAAATTCATTTCTACGAAAAAACACATTCTAGGGTAAGTTGTGAGTTACTGCAAGTATCTCCGACAAAACATTAATTTAGAAGGATGGCCTCAAAGACAAAAATATTTTTCACTAAATTTTACTATAAGTCTCCGTTGAAAAGATATCTCTACTTCCATTGTATGCCAAAATATTTTTGCGTCAATGTTGTTAAAAAACCCTGAAAATATTCTCTAATATTTTAATCAATTTTTCCTGGAACTTTTTTCGAGTTGACACCTGAAATTAATATCAAATTTCGTTTTAGGCAAAAATTGTCAAAGTAACAAATATTCTACACCAAATTTCACTATAAATCTCAGAATAAACCATAGATCTGGGTACAATAGTTTCGTTGAAAATTTCATTCAAAATTTAGTACTAAAAGTGAAAATGATGTGTTTGCTTTTTTTTACTTTTAATGTAACAAGTATTCAAGCGGAGACAAATCTCCCGATTTATACTTCATTTTTTGGAAAGGTGTCAAGGAAAGAATTATTCTAGATCAAATTTCATTGTAAGTCTCTGAACAAAAGAAATTTCTATACTTAATAGGTACCAAAAAAGTAGAATCAATTGTTCATTTCTGGAAAAGTGTAGTATTTTTTCCCAATTCGCTGCAAATGTTCTTATAATTTCACTGTACAATGGCCAGTTTGGGTTGTGTATTTAATAGGGCACGTTTTTAAATCAGATAACCGAAAAGGTTCTTGGGTCAAATGTTTTTTGACCCTTATATAGTTTTGACCATATATCCCTATAGTTTGAGATATATTTCGCAATATTTAGGTTAGAGCTTTGAAGTTTATTAGGGATCTTTGACTTACATCTAGAGACATTGGTGCGGAAAAATGGGTCATATCGGTAAATTTTTTGCTATAGTCCCCTTGTGAGGATAATTCAGATTTTAAGTATTTTTTACATTTTGGCCAAGTTTTCCATTTATTTTTGCAAAAATTTTGGCATTTTGAGTTCTCATTGTATAGAAACGCTATTTGCAAAAAATCGCCAATATAGAAGACTGTCTGTAGGTCTAATAGAGATAGAAAAATTTCGATAGAGCATCGATAGGAGACCTTTTATATGTCTTTTAAAAAGGGGATTGTCTGCAGGTCCACCTTTTGATACATAGATCCACCAAAAATACCCTCTGAATTCAGTATTGCAAGAGTCTTGGTTCTTTTTAATCTAAGCTCATTGTACCCTCAAAAAACTAAAACCGTATTTTTAAATTCACCTCACAAACTTGCAACAAATACCCATCTTCCCACCGCCCCCTCTCCACCAACTCCATCCCAACACTCGCATCGCATTCCGTTGTAACAAAAGAGACAAGAATTGTTATTGTCGATCGGCGACAATATCCAGCGAAGCAAACTGGCCGGCCACTCACTTCACCACTTCTGCACAGTGAAAAAACCAGTAATCATGCCCACAGGCCAAACCGATGTGTATTGACTGACCATTTATTACACTTCCAGTCCAGTTCGGTTCAGTTCAGTCCAATCCACTCCACTCCATGCGGCAGCAGTTGGGGTTTGCATTCAACCGTGCAGTTCCTACACATCAGCAGCAGCGGTGGCAGAAAAAAATTCAACACGTAGACGGCTGGGTAACATTGCAAAAATATGTTGGGGGAACAAGAATTGCAGGAAGAGAGGGAGAGACAGAGAGTGAGTGGTGTTTAAGAGAAGGAAACTTTAAAGAGATCATGGATTTGAAGAGACCAAGAAATTGTTGAAACTCTAAATAAGAGGTGATGGATTATTCTTTGGCGTAGTTGAGATCAGAAATCAAGAATTAACGTGGATTTTTTGGGGAATATTTTTCAAGGACCCAAGGACCATCAAACGTGGATTTTTTAAAGAATTTTTTTCAAGGGCCCAAGGAACAATAAACGTGGATTTTTTAAAGAATATTTTTCAAGGACCAATAGACCAATAAACGTGGATTTTTTAAGGAATATTTTTCAAGGACCTTCAGACCAATAAACGTGGATTTTTTAAAGAATATTTTTCAAGGACCTTCAGACCAATAAACGTGGATTTTTTAAAGAATATTTTTCAATGACCTTCAGACCAATAAACGTGGATTTTTTAAAGAATATTTTTCAAGGACCTTCAGACCAATAAACTTGGAGTTTTTGAGAATATTTTTCAAGGACCTT